GTAGTACTATCATGAAGTCTTGAATCGTTCCAGCAAGTGATGGATTCTTTACCAATAGGGTCAGGCTGAGCTTCCTCTTTTGAAGCAAAACTATTACGAAGTCTTGAATAATTCCAGCAAGTGATGGGTTCTTTCCCAATAGGGTCAAGTTGAGCTTCCTCTTCTTCCTTGCCCCGGTAGGCCAAATTCTGCAAAACCACAAAAAGAAGTCTCATAAAAACTCTAAATTATCACCCATATAAATAGCTGCAATCTCAAAATTCCTAAAGTTGATGCCTTTATTGGAAAGAAATCCCATAAAAGAAGGGAGCGGACTGAAGAATTGGCCAAGTCGAGCAAGATCACTGATTAACCCTTTCCACAGAAAAGAAGGGAGCTCTTTTAACGTTGATAGAAAATTTAGCAGAATCTTTTACAAAAAAGAAAGAAAGAAAGAAAAAGATAAATAAAGAAAACAAGGGAAGGAAAGAAACAATTTTGAAGAAAATCCGAGAACAGTTTCTCACCGCGGCTCCGGCGACTAGCAGAGAGGGTGGAAGGAAGGTTTTTCGAAACACAAATTAGTAAAGGTTAAATGTCAATTTTAGTATCTCAACTTTGGGATTTTGTATAGTTTTTACCCTTTGACTATTTTAAGTTATAGAATTTTACTTAATTTTTTGTAATAATTTTTATTTAATTTATTTAATTAAATAAAAAAATAATTTTTTACTTTTTTTTTTTTGACAGTAAAAGTTACTTAATAACTGTATTAATATCTGTTAATAAGGAACTCGAATGACTGAAGAGGTTGCAGACCACCTGCTGCCTAAGGGCAGCGTAGCCCCTTGGGCCACGTGGGGGTCTGCAATCTTTTACTTCCTTCTACTTTCTTCATCTTAATCTATTTAAATGAAGCTACACCACTAATTCTTTCCCTTCGTTTTTTTTCCTTTCCTTTCCTTTCCTTTATTAACTTCTATTTAAATATATTATTAACATTTTCACACTTTAATATTATAATAAATAAGAGGTAAAATTAAAACTTTTAACTTTTATTTTAATTAATAAAATTACTAA